TGGGGCCGAAACGTCAGCCTTCCTGCTCCTCTGATGCTGCTTGGCCTGCTGTGTTCATCCAGCTCTACACCTTGTTATCTCAGATACTCCAGCATCTGTAGTTCCTACTATCTCTGAAACATTAGTTGCTGTTCTCTTAAAAGTGTTCATGATTGTATACACATGCAAGAAATGAGTTTGCCCAACAGTTGGCAGCAGAAATTGTTGTTTTACAACCACACATCAGATATTGTCTATGATACCGACAACTATATGTTTGGTGGCTAGGTGGAATAGTTGATTTGATTGTTAGTGCACATTCCTATCAATACTCGCAATCAGTTTTGTCATTAACTTTTGGTAAGCTGGTTTAACAACGTACAGTAGCATCATCTCCGCCTTAACCAGTGATAGGTCTCTCACCTTCATGTCAGGAGGTTGTGGGTTAAAACCTTTGCTCCACAGAACAGAACAGCAAAATCTACACCAATAATTAAAGACAGATTACATGGAAGGTGTCATTAAAAGGGGCTCAACCTGCCCCCTCAGGTGGACATACAAGATCCCATGGTATTTTTCAAAGTCCTCCTTCATTCTGAAAACCAATAGTTCTCCTTCAATCAAACTACTGGAAAACAGACCTTTTTTATTGGTATCAACATAGGTTCAAAAATTTCAATTTGGTCACTAAGCACTGGATGATAGTTTCTAATTTTAGTAATGAACAGTAATCAATAATTCAACCTGGAAGGATGTCATCATATCCCAACTACCCAAAAGACCAGAAATTTATTAGTGTCAAAACTGAAACCATTTGAATTTAGTCATGTAAACATAGGTTAATAGTGGCAACAGAAAAATGAATAAAGGCCACAATTTGGGCTCAAAAAAGCATGCTGAGAATTTGAAATAACTAATGATGTATTGTCAAATCGGATTTAAAACTGGCTTAGAGGCAGGAGGCAGAGTATAGTAGTTGAAGGTTGTTTTTGTGAATGGAAGGTTGTGTCCAGCAGCATACCAAAGGGTTTACTGCTGGGCCTCTTGCTGTGCGTATTGTATATTAATTGTCTAGACGTGAATCTAAGAGGTTTTAATCGGTAAGTCTGCAGGTGACACAATTAATGTTGTGTTAAATAGTGAAGAAGAAAACTGGATTACAGGGTGTTATAAACAGGTTGGTCAGATGGGCAGAATAATGGTAAATGAAATTTAATCCTGAAAAGTGTGAAATGATGCATTTTGAAATACTGACAAGGGCAAAACAGTAAATGTGAAATGTGAAGTGTGAAAGAAGTACAGAGGGATCTTGGTGTGCATGTCCACAGATTCACAAAGGCATTAGGGCAGGTAGATAAGGTAGCTAAGAAGGTGTACGGGATGCTTGCGTTTATTAATCAAAACATTGAATACAAGGGGATTTGATTCCTCTTCAGAGGGTGCAGAGGAAATTCAACAGAGTGTTGCTTGTGCTGGGGCATTTCAGGTAAGAAAAAGTGGACAAGCTGGGATTGTTTTCCTTTGAGCAGAAAAGGCTGAAGGAGTACAAAATGGAGGGGCATAAATAGGAAGAAACTTATGCTCTTAGTAGATGGATCAATTACCTAGGGCATGCATTTGAAGTAAGTGGCATGAGGTTCAGAGGGCATCTAAAGACTTAGTGATGGATATCTGGAACTCATCACATGAAAGAGTGGTAGAAGTGGGACCATTACAACATTTAAGCAGTATTTAGATGATCACATGAATCGCCAATTGCATACAAAGATACGGACTAAGTGTTGGAAAATGGGACTGGAGTAAATAGGGTGCTTGATGGTAACAGTCTATGGCTCATGTGAGTGGAATATGAGCAGTTATCATCCAAAGGGGTAGGATGTTCATTTTGCAGACACACTTACGAACCCCAGCAAGTCAAATGCGTGTAAAGATGTTGCTACTTACCCACTGCGTGTTTAAACCCCCCGAGAGGAGTGCGTGTGAACGAGTGAGTGCAGCCTACCGATGCTACTCCTGACTTTATGGCATTGAAACGCGAGCAGCGCCCAGACCCGGAAGGAGCCACGTTCTGGCCGCCTGCACAACGTTCCAAACCTCAGAGTCCTCAGCAGCAACACCATGTATCAAATTAAATAAATATCAAATTAAATAAATATCAAATGCTGCACCGTTCATATCAATTCAAATACAGAAACAAGAAAGCAAGTACCTTTTGATCCAATTTCTCCAATTTCCGACTGTGAGTTTTTGTTTTTGCTATCTTTTATTTATTTGGATTGAATTGTTTTTTTTTCTTCCCCCATCTACTCGATATAACATTAACAGCAAACATGACCAGTTTTTGCTCGCACCATTTTCACTTTGTTTATTGGTGCTCGGGTAATTGTGTCGCGGTTTGATGACGTACTGCGGCGGGAACATTCGAGATTTGGCTGAAAATTTTGAGCTCGAATCGTGTTATTTGCGTTTTTTCACCTCCCGAAGGTATCGAATCGGAGACGGTAATTCTGAGGTGTACTTTATTTGTTACTTATGTCTGATCGTTGCTGTCAGTTAAATCCTACTCTGACTGAGTTTTAGAGCCATAGAGATGTACAGCACGGAAACAGACCCTTCGGCCAAACTCGTCCATGCTGACCTGATATCCTATATAAATCCAATCCCATTTACTAGCTTGTGGCCCATAATCCTCTAAACCCTTCTATTCATGTACCCATCCAGATGCCTTGTAAATGTTGTAATTGTACCAGCCTCCCCCACTTCTCCTGGCAGCTCATTCCATACATGCACCACCCTCTGTGTGAAAAAGTTGGTCACTTTTAGCCACCCTTAGGTCACTTCTAAATCTTGCCCCCTCTCACCTTAAACCTATGCCCTCTAGTTTTGGACTCCCCTTCCCTGGAAAAAAGACCTTGTCTATTCGCCCTATCCATGCCCCATATGATTTTATAAACCTCTTGTAAGGTCACCTCTCAGCCTTTGATGCTCCAAGGAAGGTAGCCCCAGTCTATTCAAGTTTAACAACATCTTTCCTATAACAGGGAGACCAGAATTGAACATAGTACTCCAAAAGTGCCCTCACCAATGTCCTGTACAACCGCAACATGACATCCCAACTCCTTTACTCAATGCAGTGATCAATAAAGGCAAGTGTATCAGACGTCTTCTTCACTACCCTGTCCACCCGTGACTCCACCTTCAAGGAACTATGAACCTGCACTCCAAGGTCTCTTTGTTCAGAAACAGTACCCCCACAAAATGAAAGCTTTATCAGGAGAGTAAAGCCCCCAAGCGTCACGTTTTGTTCACGTTGCCACCTGGACTTCAGGGAAAATAGGGTTATTTGTTTGCAGCATAATTAATTGTCGCCATTTAAGATTGGGTCTGTGGCAAGGCATTGTTTTATTCACTAATCCAAGTACAACAACAGATATGTTCATATAGTTGTAAAGAGTATTTTAGACCACAAGGTGTTCTGCTGTCTGGCAAAATTCCTTCTGGCCCAACTAAACCCACAAATATTATCCCATGAATTTTTGTGGAGTCTTGCTATCTGTAAGTTGACTATCATTCCGTTAACAGCAGTGACTACAGTTCAAAATACAGTTCATTGGATAACAGCAACTTAGATTTATTTATTTATGTGATGCTTTTGTTGAATGTAACATCCCAAAGCATTACACAGGACATTATAAAGTAAAATGACATGCATAAATTGATATTATGTTAATTGACAAGCTTCGTCAAAAAGGAAAGTTTTAAATCCCAGAAGTGAGGTACAGACACAGGTTTAGGGACAGAAATTCAAAGCTCAGTGTAGGGGATATCTAGAGGCATGGTACTAAAGTTGGAGCAATTAAAATTTGGCGTGCTTAAATCAATATCTTTGGAGGAATTCAAACTAATAGAGTATGGAATATACAAGACCAGCCAGGATTGCTTTAGAATATTAAAACTTTGAGGTAAGAAAAGTATGAAAATGGGTTTTAGCAGCAGATGAACTGAGACAGGGGTGATGTTACAGAGAAAGTTTCTGTAGAAGAAAAAAAGAGTGAGACAGAAAGTGAAGAACTTTAGGCCAGTTAGCCCAACACCTGTCAGTGGAAAATGCTGGAATTCACTATTAAGGAAATAGCAGGACATTTAGGAAATCATAAAATTATGTTGATTCTGTTTGATTGTATTATGAAAGGGAAATTTATGTTTGACAAATTTACTGAGTTCTTTAAGATGCAACAAGTATGGTAAAGAAGAAAAACCAGTGCCACACAAGCTAAAAGCTCATGGTGTTGATGGACAGAGGATGAGCTAACTTTTAGGAAAGAGAAAGTGGATAAATAGGTCAGTTTCAGTTACGTTGTGGAGTGCCGCAGGGCTCAGGACTGAAACCTTATCTGTTTGCAACATATATCAATGATTTGAATGAAAGGATCGAGTGTGTTGAAGCTAGATTTGCTGACAATACAAAAATGAGAAAGCAAGTTATGAGGAGGATGCATTGAGTCTGCAGAGAAATGTAGATAGATTTAGTAATTGGGCAAAAAATTGGCTGATACAATGTGGAAAATAAGTGGTTTCCCACTTTGCTGGGAAAATAGAAAGCAGAATATTTACGTGGAAAAAGACCGCAGAAAATGCTGCAATGCAGAAAGATCTAGGTGTTATAGGCAGCAAAGGTTTACTAGACTGATTCCGGGGATGGCGGGTCTGACATATGAGGAGAGATTGACTAGGTTGGGATTGTTTCGCTAGAGTTCAGATGGATGAGGGGGTATCTCATAAAGACTTATAAAATTCTAACAGAACTGGACAGGGTAGTTGCAGGGGGGATGTTCCCAAAAGTAGGTGTGTCCAGAACCAGGGGTCACAGTATGTGGATTCGGGGTAGACGAAAAAGGACAGAGATGACGAGACATTTCTTCACCCAAAGAATGGTGAGCCTGTGGAATTCATTACCACAGGAAGTAATTGATGCCAAAGCATTGAATGTATTCAAGAGGCGACTAGATATAGCTCTTGGCGTGAATGGGGAGAAAGCAGGATCAGGCTATTGAGTTGGATGATCAGCCATGATCATGAAGAATGGTGGAGCAGGCTCGAAAGGCTGAATGGCCTCCTCTTGCTCCTATCTTCTATGTTTCTATAAAAGTTAGCGTGCAGGTTTGGTACAGAAAGTAATTCAGAAGGTAAGTGAAAAATTAGCCTTTACTGTAAATGGGTATGGGGTGTAAAAGAAGTTTTACCAAATTGAGCACTGCATTGGTGAGAATGCATCTACAGTACTGAGTACAGTTTTGATTTTATTTAAGGAGTCATCGACTTGCTTTGGCGACAGTTCAGGAAATTCAATTGATTGACACCTGGAATGAAGGCATTGTCTTAGGAGGAAAGGTTGAGCAGGCTGGACCGATATCAGTTGATAAAGACAGTGAGTGTTGAAGGTGGTGCATGTAGGTGCAAAACAAATGTGCTGCTTTGTCCTGGATGGTATTGAGTTTCTTAAATGTTGTCCACCCATCCAGGCAGGTGGATGGTATTCCCTCACTCTCCTGTCTTGTGCCTAGTAAATGATGGATAGCTATTGATGAGACAGGAGGTGAGATACTTGCCGCATAATTCCTAGGCTCTGACCTGCTGTTGTAGTCACAGTATTTCATACAGCTGGTCGAACTACCACCACATTACATTCATCCAACTATCCTTCTGACTTGATCCATCCTCTCCAGCCATCTATTCTCCTCCCTCCTACAATTACCTATCCTATCTATCTTGTGCACCTGCCTTCCCAACTCCATTTACCTACCTCATCCACTGACCCATCTCACTCACTTAACCAATTGCTCATCTACCCATTAAGGAGCATTCAAACTGGAATTCTAAATTCACCATATGGCAACTTGTCACAAACAGGAGGTTTGTGGTTTATTCACTGAACCTCGTTGTTGGTTTCTGTGTGGATTCCTGTGCTAAGCGCATTCAGAATGATGCAGTGCAAGTCAAATGCTTTAGTCAGCCTTTTGTAAAATAATTGTTGAACATATATGCACATAACATTCCTGTTTGTTTATTTATGGCAGATACAATTGCATCATTTTGCAGATGACCTGCTAATTGGAAAAGACAAAATAAAATGTCTTGCCGTGAGTTTATTGTAAGTAAAACAAATTTACTTGCTTGTGTTAGAGATCGTAGAAACTGCAGATGCTGGAGAATCTGAGATAACAAGGTGTGGAGCTGGATGAACACAGCAGGCCAAGCAGCATCAGAGGAGCAGGAAGGCTGACGTTTTGGGCCTAGACCCTTCTTCAGAAAAGGGTCTAGGCCCGAAACGTCAGCTTACTTGCTTGTGTTCATTGATAAATTGAAATTCATTTTAAAGTTTTTGTTAAAATTAGCTTTTACGTTGCAGTGTGCCAGTTGCAATATTTATTTGACGGACCAGATTCCACTGTTTATTTCCCCCTGTTTGCTCACACTTGGATGCATTGTCTTCAATTGTTATGAAATTTACAGAAACCTCTGTTACCTAGCAGTTCGAACAACAGATTTTTACTGCGAAGAACATCCATCATTTGAAGAGTCAATCTTTGTTTCATTTTTTTTCAATTTCAGGTGCTGTATACAAATCAAAAAACAAGAAAAGCAAAGAAATGGCATGATGGCATTTTAAGAACCAGTTCCTATGGAAATAAGGTTTGTTCAGCAAATAGTGAACTATTATGTGGTCTATGCTGTGTAACATGTAAGTGCAAGGAATGTTTTGAAGACTAATAGATTGGAAGTTTTATTTTACTGATAATTTGGATTTCACAGTATGCATAAGATTACATAACAATAAAATGGTATTTAAAACGTGATTTAATTGGTATTGTACTGTGGTTTTCCACTTTCACTAATGACTATTTACTGTTTATGTTTTCCCTATTTTGTCCCACCTGAAGTACCAATTCTCTGGTGAGTTACAACTTTACAGAGGGTGGACCACCTTATGGTGCGTCACTCAAGTAACCATCGTTGTGTGTTGAGGGATTTTTCAGCGCAGGTAGATCACCTCTAAATCCACTGTTCACACCAGACTGTTCCAAGAGACAATGCTGGATTGCGGTCTATACGACCAGTTTGAGAATAGAACTGCCATTTCAGCTGTCATCAGTTAATTTACCACAGACGGTGACTCAAATGAGTTGTTAGCTTTGGAAGCTGTGACATTATGGATTGAGTCAACAAGATGGTGTTGCTGATCAGTAATTCCTCACTTAGCATCATAGTTGTGTTCCTGAAAAGTGCAACTTTAAGGAAAACATTGTTAAGTGAATCAGATTTTCTCATAAGACTTGATGTATAAACTAGAGTCAGGTTTTTAACACATTTAGATGTTTGCAGAGATTTCACCATTGAATAAA